TACTTATAGCATTGTTTGCACTGACATGGGCAGGAGGAGATTCCTGCTAGAAAAAAGACCGTTGAGAGCAAATGGAAGGTATTGGGATCTCTGGAAAAGGACTGTGTGTTGAGAAGACAGTTCTGCCCCAAAAGAGCATCAAACGGATAAATCGGTATGGGTCTCTCTCTGTAGGTGGAGATCGAGGTCCAGATTGCTTTTCAAACATTCTTAGTATTTAAAACCTTTGATGGGATGGACTGAAAACCTCCAGTGTGTTTTCAGAAGACCTAGATCTCACCAGAGATTTACTATCTTTCTCCTGCAAAGCATCTCCTGGATTTGAACTGTGCTCCTTTAGGGTGGCAGTGAGACTCGTTACCACTAAGCCACTAGAGCCCTCTGGTATTTTAAATCTTCAATGAAATGGATTGACACAGTGACTGCAGCAATGGGACCAAGGGCGTCAGAGATGATGAGGATGGCACAGGATAGGGCAGAGTTCTCAGGGTGGCTGTGAGTCCTTCTCCACTCCCGTGCACCTAACAGCAAGAAGAGTGTTTAAAACCGTTAGAGACACAGTGGCTTTGGTGTTCTCAGAGTTAGTGATCCAAGTTAGTGACTTTGAAACATTCATAATTAGCTTTTTTTCATAATTACATGTGTTTTTCTTATCTGCCATCATGTAGGTGCTGACTCATAGTGACCCGATGTACGACATGGTATCGTCCGGCTCTACACCATCCACATATTTTCTGTGCTTAAGACCTTGTTGAAATTCACTGTGGAGGTCAATTTCCTTGAGGGTCTTTCTCTTTTCCATTGATCCTACACTTTTCCAAGCTTTCTGAAGCTTCGTCTGACATATTTTGGGCATGTTGCAAGGAAGGATCAGTCCTTGGAAAGGAACATTATGCTTAGGAGGGTGAAGGGTCAGCTCAGGGGAGGAAGAACCTCTATGAGTTGGATTGATTCAGTGACTGGGGTAATGGGGGTAGGTGTTTCAGAGACAATAAGATTGGCACGGGATAAAGCAGGGTTTAGGACTGTTGTACATGTGTCCTATGAGTCGCAGATGACTTGACAGCACTTAACAACAACAACAGTGCTCCTCTCCAGTATTTGACTCCATCTCCATAACATGTATGACAGTGTCATCCTTCTTCCAAGCTCTTGTTCCAAGCCAGAATTGACTGTTCTCCTCATTGTTGTTATTATTGTTGTGTGCCGTCGAGTTGACTAATGACTTTTGTTGTTGTTGTTGTTGTTGTGTACCATCGAGTTGGGACCAACCCATAGCAGACCCTCCGGTAGGTTTTCAGAGGAAGTAACAATGACTCATGGCAGCCCTATGAACAAGAGTTCTGGACCTTGCTCTGCCCTGAGCCCACCTCACCGTCTCTGACGCACTTGACCCTATTGACACAGTCACTGTCAATCCAGCTCATCCAGGGATTTCCTCTCTTGTGCTGACTCCTCCTCCTTCCCAACATGATGTCCTTCTCTAAAGACTGACCCCTTCTGATGGCATGCCCAAAATTATGTGAGACAAAATTTCAAAATCCTTGCCTACAAGAAGCAACCTGGTTTCACTATCCCTCAGATGGACCTATTTGTTCTTTAAAAAGTCCATGGTATGGTAAGTACTCTTCTCCAGCCCCAAAACTCAAAGGTATCAATTCTTCTGTCATCCTTAAACAATGTCCAGCTCTCAGAGACATAGCAAGCAATTGAAAAGACCAGGGCTTGGAGCAGTCACACCTTAGTCTTAAGACTGACATCATTGCTCACTAGCACTCTGGAGAGGTCCTTGACAGCAGAATTTCCCAATGCAATTCATCTTTTAATTTCTTGACTGCTAATGTGAAATCTGAGCAAGATGAAATTACTGATAAAGTTAATCTTTTCTCACCCTGTCATGATGCTATCTAATAGCCCAATGGTCAGCATTTTTGTTTTCCTGATGTTGAGATGCAATCCATATGGAAGGCTGTTGTCTTTTTTTCTTTTCTTTGGAAATCCGTTTTTTAAAAAATTATATTAGTTTATTTTGAATACATTGCTTTTCAGGCAAAATTCTTCCAATTTCCATCACCCCCCCCCATCAAATTGTACAATCCCATGTTTAATACACACACACACACACACACACACACACACGTCTTCATTCCTCTGCTTCACTGCTGTCTTTGACCTTCTGCAGCAAGCATTTCAAGTCCTCCTCAGTTTCAGTGAACAAGGTTGTGTCATCTGAATGTTGGTTGTTGACAAGTCTTCCTCCAATCCTGATGTCGCATTCTTCTTCATCAAGTCCAGCCTTTCAAATTATTTGTTTGGCATACTTTGGAAATATATGGAAAAATGATACATCTCCAACACATTCCTTTCTTGATTTTGAACCATGCAGTGTTCCCTTGTTCTGTTAAGGTATACATTTCACATAAGCACAATCAAGTGTTCTGAGATTCCCATTTTTCTCAATATTAGCCACAATTTGTTGTGATCCACACAGTCAAATGCCTTTTCATTTATATTGAAAACATAAACGTCCTTCCGGTACTCTCTGCTTTTCACTAAGATCTATCTGACATCAGCAATGGTATCTCCAGTGTCACAGTCTCTTCCAAGTCCAGCTTTTATTTCTAGCAATTCTCTGTCAATGTACTGTTTTAGTACTTTCTGGAAAATCTTCAGCAAGATTGTGTTTGTGTGTGGTATTAATAATAGTTTTTGATAATGCCCACATTCTGTTGGATCATTATTTTTTGGAATGAGAACAAATAGAGATCTCTTTCATCAATTGTCCAGGTAACTGGCCTCCAGGTTTCTTGGCATAGCCTGCAACACATCTGTTTGTCAAAATGTATCAATTGCTGTTCAGTTGATTCCTTGGGCCTTGTTTGTTACCAATCCCTTTAGAAAAGCTTGAACTTCTTCCTTTACTACCATCGATTCTCAGTCATATGCTGGTTCCTGAAATGTTCCTGAGTCGGCCGTTTCTTAGCGGTATAGTGACTTCATATATCCCTTCCATCTTCTCTCGATGCTTTCTGGACCACTCCAGATACAGCCCAGAGAGTCTTTCAATTTTGCAACTCAAGGCTTGAATTTGTTCTTCAGTTATTTCTGCTTAAGAAATACTGAGCCAATCCTTCCCTTTAGATTTTGTGACTCCTGGTCATCTATGTTATGTATAATATTATTTTCCAACATCATAATTCAAAGAGTTCGTTCTTCCTCAGTCATCATGACTTGTTTTCTGGCTTTTACGTGAATTTAGAGTGACTTCAAATATCTACTTATTTAGGAGGCTTTCCAAACAAAACTTTATTCTCTCAGCTTTTGTCTGAAAGTCCAACATGAAAATTACAAAATACGTCACACAAAGCAACACATCATGTAATGCGAAACTTAGATTAGTAGTACTAATAAAGCATGATTGGTGTGATAAGCCAGCTGGTAAATAGAAAAATTCAAACCTGTGTGATATGTTTTCTTTCTTGAAAACATGATCATTTAGAGACTATGTGATCCAAGTAGCTAACAAATCCCCACTTCCCCATATTAGTGACTTTCAACAGACACAGAGCTGGAAAGATGAGGTACAAACTTTTCCTGCATTAAGTGTGGATTTTATTTTGCTAACGATAACCGAGAAGGTGGTGGATGTTTGTAAAGGAAAATGTGTCTCCAGTGTCCTTGTGGTTAAGTGCTGTTGAGCTCAACTCATAGCAAACTTGTGAACAACAGAATGAAACCGTGCAGGTCCTGCACCATCCTCACCATTTCTGCTGTGTTTAAATGTATTGTTCCGACCACTGTGTCAGTCCATCTCATTGCTGGCCGTCTGACAGCTCTTATTATTCTCATTTTCATACATAATAATGCTCCTATAATAGGTTTCATTCTTTTAGATATGGAAGTTTAAGTAAAATGTATACACCAAGTGCAAAGAGTTCCTGTGCATCACCCCTCCTTTAGCATGTTCTTTCTCTTGTACTTCTTCCAGTTGTAACACGTGGTACAGTTGATGGACCAATAGCAATGCACAATCAGCAACTGACATTTCAGCCTGCGTTAGGGTTTACTGTGTGTTGCACAGCCCTTCGGGTTTTGACAAAAGCTTTCTAACACGTGCCTGCCGTAACAGCCTGGTACACAATAGTGTCATTGTCTTACGCATGTCCTTGTACTCTTTCAAGTCTTTGAAGTGACATCCTTGCTCTTTAGCACTTTATTTTTATTTTTAGTTTCATAATATTTTTATTTAGCTCAAATATTAAATATATGTAGTGTACTCATTACCATTGAGTTAGAGCTGACTCAAGTTGACGCCATTGCTGTAAATCCTGTAGGATGGGATGACCCAGCTTGCTATCTTCAGCACTATAAACAACAGACCTGACCTTGACCTATGCTACCCCACCCACTTGGTCTCTAACATGCTCAAGACCATTGTTGTGATTACTGGGTCAATTCATCTCACTGAGGGTCTTCCTCTATTTCTCTGACCATCTATCTGTCTTTCCCAGTACATGTACGCCAAGAAGAAGAAGAAAGAGATTATCTAGGGAGAGAAGACCTTTATGAGATATTTGGAGAAAAGAAGTTGGAACAAAAAATTATATATGATGTCATTAAGAAATTGACAGAGAGGGCAGGTATAGCTTCTCTAAGAAATTCGTCATTAGACGCTGCCTAATGTATAACAAGAAGAACGTCATTTTTGGTGCAGTACAATAGAGCAGAGCAAAGACTGAGGGGAGCCACTGGGGAAGTGGAGTGACCCAGTAACTGCACAGAGGTGCACCAAGTACGGTCAGGATGACACAGATCAGGGCAGCGCCTCATTCTGCTGTGTCCGGAGTCCCCATGCACCAGAGCCTGCCCCAAGGTGGTAATAGCAAGTGTTGGCAGCAGGCTCTGCATGAGGCTGGCGGAGGAGGAGGCTGGGTGCGATGGCGCGAGTGGGAGGTGTCTAGTGCTTGTGTTCATGGCGTGTCTCTCTGTTTCTCTCCTAGCCATCGGCAGGACTCTCATCCCCCGCTACTTCAGCACCGTGTTCGAAGGCGGGGTGACCGACCTGTATTACATTCTCAAACACTCAAAAGAGTCATACCACAACTCATCGATCACGGTGGACTGTGACCAGTGCGCCATGGTCACCCAGCACGGGAAGCCCATGTTTACCAAGGTACAGAAACCCTTACTCACTCCTGCACCTCGCCTTTCCTTCTCTGGGTACACCGAGGGCTGACAGCTCTGGCCTTCTTCTGGAACCCTGGGCTGATTCCCGCAGACATCTTTAACGCTGTGACATGGTTGGTTTGAGACTGCTAGATAATTTTGGTAGACACTTCAAAGATGCGTGTTTAGGACATTCAACACAAGAATGTCAAAAAACAATGGAACCTCAACGCTTAAGCCTGAACACAAAGTCCCCTTTGTCTATACACTTGAGTTGCTAAAGCAAAGATTTTGTTTCAATACACAGAGCTTTCTAGAACTAAAAAGATGATGTCCTATTGGGTAGTGTTTTCATTTCATTACTAAACTTTTTTTTCTAAATTCAAATCTTAATAACCAAAGGGGGGTCTATTGAAGAGAAGCTAACTAGCTGTGGTCTTTATGAAATTTGAGAATGAAAAATATAAATGATATTGAGGAAAGCAAATGATGGATTTTTCTAAAATTCATCAAAGTAGCAGACAAGGAGCTCAGCGGAACAGCACAGCAGGAACATAAACTGATTGTGAAAGATGGAGAGGAGAGCCCTGGAAGGAGGGTGTGGGCAGGCAGCTGGCAAAGGCATCTGACAGCACAACCTTTGAGTCTAAATTCAAGACCCTATAAAGGACCCAAATAAAAAAGGGAAGGACTCTAGATCCAAGCCCATAACCTACATGTTCTATTCCTGTGGTACAAACAGTAGAGGCAAAGCAGAAAAATTCACATAAACAAGTCTTTAGTCAGAGATGCTAGCAAATGACTGTTTTAATGAGCACTTGTTCATTGCATTTTTACAAAGACTCACTAAGACACGGCTCTGGAGGATTCACAATAGCAACTCGTAATCCTTTCCTTGTAGCATCTGCCCCTGGGTAATAGGCTTCTAGGTCAGTGTCTGTGAGGTCACATTCTCAAGGTCAGTTCTTGTCACACCAACTCTCTGGTTTTAGTGAAGGAATGTCAGGAAGAAATGGCTCACACAGATGTTGGTGCTGTGGCAAGGCCACGTACTCACAGGGCAGCCAGAGCTGAGGCAAGCCACACACAAATGACCTCCCTCTCTTCATGGTTAAGAACAGTTGAATTGTCAGGTTTGATGGCAGAATTCCAAAGGAGAAAGCTGAAAATAGGCTTCTTTTGGTTCCTTTTTGACTATTTTTCCAGAAGAATGAAAAGAAATGCTGCCTTTCTAAAGGAACCGACTATCTTGTCGGTGCTGGTGAAACTTTCTGGTGGTCTGTCCTGGTGTCTCACATGCTTTGGGCATGTTGCTAGAGAGGCTAGTCATTGGAGAGGGACCTCATGCTTGTAAAGGTGGAGGGTCGGCAAAGAGAGGAAGACCCTCAACCAGGTGGATTGCCACAGTGACTACAGCAATGGGCTCTAGTGTGTCGTAGGTTGTGAGGGTGACGCAGGATAGGACAGGTTCAGATCTGCTGTTCACAGGATCACTATGCTTCATAGTTTACTCAATGGCACCTAAAAACAATAGTATTTGGAAGTTTAAAAATACAGCAAGAGAAATCATTATAAAATGCCGATACCAGTTACCAAATGCCATTGATATTGCAGTATCTTGATTTTATCAATGTGCCTTTTAAGTGTGAGGCAGATGTTAGTGGAAGGTTTTCTCTCCCCCTCTCCCCCTGCCCAAGTTTAAAAGTTTGACTATTAAGATTTCAGAAGGTTTCTTGTTTTGTTTTTATCAGACAGGGATGTACGAAGGTCCTTCTCATGGAATGCAAAATGATGGGGGAGGGGGATGAACAGAGAGGAGTTTGCCACATGAAAAGGAGGGTCCCCTCTGGACTTTAATCTGTGCCCCTTTCCTTAGCAACAGCTGAACATTAAGATAAATAGGTATCTCATTCCCGTTACTATACTGAGCATTGCACATCTCACTCTTCTCTGTGGCATCATTATTTTATTCCTGACCTTCGTGTTTTTAGATGACCTAAGAATAGCATATTTTATGATTTGTCAGAAAGATATTCATGATAATGAAATAAATCTGTGTCCTAATTATGGAGCGCTTTTCCAAACGGAAGGTGCTTTGGATGTGGCCCGTTTACATAGTTACATCCTTTCTGTGTTGTTAGACCGAAGCACTTGTCATAGATGAGGGTAACTGCGTAGTTAGGAGGCTCCGGTGTTCTAGTGGTAAGAAGCTGCCTTGCAGTCCCGAAGGCACACAGTTTTGAATCCACCAGCTGCTTTGATGGAGAAGGATGGACAATCTCCTCCTATGCAATCAACTGTCCCAGAAAACCTGTAGGAGGGTCAGCGAGGGGTTGGTGTCGACTCAGTGGTACAAAAACAATGACACAAGAAGCTAGTTGTTCTGGAAAGATCCAGAAACAACCGCCATCCATTCCATTCCAACTCATGTCGGCCCTCATCAGGTTTCCGAGGTTATAAATCTTACCAAGAGAAAACTGTCCACCTTTATCCCCCAGAGCAGCTAAAGGATCCAAACCCCTGACCTTCTGGTTAGCAGACCAACACTTAATGCACTGTGCCACCAGGGCTTCTGGAAATAACAGTGCTGCCCATTTGTGACTAGTTTTAGATCAAGCATCCCTTTCTGACGAATGGAGAAAATGTTTCTCCATCCAAATCGAGAAGCTAAGGTTTCTCTGTCTTGTCTTCCTCGAAAGGGGTCGCTGGGTAGTGCAGATGATGTGAATTCCACTGCTAACTGTGAAAGGATCTCTTGGTCATACCCAGAAGAGCCTCTGAGGAAGTCCTGGTTATCAGGTCCCAGTTGGATTACAGGCCAGAACACTCTATGGAGCCCATTTTTGCTGGCTAACACCTGGGGTTCATGGGGGAGTCATAGCCAACTCGATGGTGTCTAAGAACCACACCTGGCATCACCAAGGAGTCAAAAGTGATGGGTTTGGGTTCCTAGGGTTTTGATACTGTTTCTTTTTTTTAAAATTAATTTTAGTGAGAATTTACAGAGACTTAGGGTTTCCAGTCATTCACTGTTGCACTTTCTCACTGCTCCCCACCTCCCCTCCAAATCACTCTTCACCTTGAAAAGAAAAAGAAAAATTCCTTCATTGTTATACAACCCCTCCCCCCAAGTCCACTCCGTTGTGCAGCCTTCGTTCTGGACTCCTGTCATGACAATAATACCTAATCATATAGCCCTTTTAAACAGTGCTCTCCCTCATCTGTTTTAATGCACTATACATCATTCCTCCCCTCTTTCTCTGTCTTCCCTCAACCCAAATGTCAGTCCCGTTTTACAACAGTCGCCCTGTGCAATATTTGTCCTTTTGATATTGTTTCTTGTACCAGAAGCTTACTTCTCTGATAAGGGAATGGGCTCAGAGACACAGGACAGTCACCAGGAACCCCTGGACCCCATGTTAGAGACAGTGCCCTTCAGCATCCGTCACCCCAAGTGTCAGTTGTTGGTACCACTTACCTTACTCTCTGCCTCAATACCTTTGCCAAATCCTGGATTGAAGATTTCCAATGTTGTTGTTGTTGGGTGCCATTGAGTCAGTTATAACTCTATGAAAGAGAGATCAGAACCTGGCCCCATCCCGTGCACTCCTCAGCATCTCCACCAGGCATGAGAGCACTGTTGAAGTCACTGCATTAATCCACCTTGTTGAGGATCTTCCTACCTTTTGTTCCCCTTGTATCTTTCCAAGCATGATACTGTTTCCTCAAGAACTGGCCCCTCGTTACAATATGTCCAAAGTGTTTGAAAGGAAGTCTCACCATGCTTGTCTCTTAGGGACAATCAGGTTGCACCTCCTTCAGGGCAAACGGATATGTTTGTTCTTTTGACAGTCTGTGGTATATTCAATATTCTTTGCTAACACCACAATTCAAAGGCTCTCATTCTTTGTACAACTTTCAGACACATAAAAAAACTAAAGACAGAAAGAAGAAGAAAAAATCCGCTATGAAAAATGCCATGACCTAGATCAAGTGCACCTTAGTCTTAAAACTGACATCCTTGCTCCCTAGCACATTAAAAAGGCTGTTGAAAGCAGATTTCCCCAATACAATACTTCTTTTGATTTCTTTACAATTGTCATGCTTTGGTTAAAAATATTACTTCCTGGGAAATAGAGCTTAGTGATGTGGACTTAGTCCAGAAACTAATTATGCATGTTTCTTTTTAGGAAATTTTAAGAGTTCTTTCCCCCCCAACTCCCACCCCCGTGTTTTTCTCTGGAAGTTCTGATACAACCTAGATAGTCTTTCAATTGTTTCTTTTGTTCTTATATTAATTAAAAAGAGCTCATCTTCGTGTTTGCCAGTCAGATAGATTGACACAGCGACTGCAGGATTGGGTTGAAGTGTGTCTGAGATGATGAGGATGGCACAGAATAGGTTCATTATGATTCATGCTCCTCTCAATGGCATTAACAACAAAATATCCCTGGTAATAAACTGCTAGGACTGGTTAGTATAAAAGAGTGAACCAATGATTTATCAGTTACCACAAAGAAAAATAGCTGGGGAACTGATGTTTTTTGTCAAAGGAGGACCCGTGATTAGCACATCATACCTAGGCAGGAGTCCACTGTTCTCATGCACGGGAGTGCTCAACCCTAATTCCAAAAGTCACATTAGACCCAGGGGTCCTGAGTTGCGTTTATGAACGTTTTGTCAACTGGTGAATCAAAACCACAGTCAGAGTTCTGATCAGCAGTAAAATTAATATTCCTCACGAGCCCGATGCACATTGTGCAATTTCCTGATCCCGGCACATTATAGATTACGGATAAATATGTAATTAGAGTTTTAGAGCACACATTAGAAAGCCTCTCTTTTATGTTTTCAATTTCTAGCCGAAGAGAAAACAAGGCTTCATAATCAGAAGGGCATGTCCAGGTTTTAAGAATCAAAGTTCCCTTAAGTTATATTTCAGGGAACAAGCCTTGGCAGATGAGAAGAGAGGGACCCTCTGGAGTACGTTATTGGAGTTCTATTTTA